CTTGAGGGAACTGGTGCATATGAAATGCTGAACAGGCTTTGCAGAGATTCATCGACAACGTCTTTCGAGGTTTCAGCTTTGTACACCTGTATGTTGATGAATCTGTAGTGGAACTGGGCCCTAACATGAGACAATACGGGAAATGGACATTCAACATTTAACACGGAGAACAGCCCAACGATTATGAAGGCGGGAAGAATGAGAGGAATTTATTAGAGTTGATCGTATGGCATGGCTCGGCCATGCAGGCGTGGTCTCTGCTGAATGTTACCTTATATCTTTTATTCATAATAAATATATTGTTCTTTCTCTAGCCTAAGCTTGTTCTCCATCATGTATTGGTAATCGTTACGATACAGTGAGCTGCTGTAGACAATGATGTGGCTTTCACGTATGATCTCATAGATTAGGCAGTTATATCATGACAAATCTAAAATTTTAGGATAGGGTCTATTATTAGAGCAGTATTAATATTATAGTAGACCATAATTCTACATTAGTGAGCCCAACGTCATGCGAACACTCAACCTTTTGATTCTACAAATTTTCGATCACAAGTACGACCAGTGAATCTCATCTCCAGCATCTGGACCTTATTTTTGGACAACTACAAAAACACGACATTACTTTAAACATTCAGAAATGTCAAACCGTAACTGACTCCCTTGATTTTTTCTGGTACGGCCATCTGCCCTCTGAAAAGTGAAGCGGTGGCCATTATGGATTACTACAACCGACAACAGTCAAGCACTTACGTGCGTTCATCGGCCTGGTAGAATTCTACAAACGGTTTAAATTGAAATTCACGTCTCTCAAGAGACTCTTACCTAACCGACTTCGTAGAAATGTGAAACTCATCAATTCAGACAACATTTGAAAAGAAGCATTTTTCACAGTCAAGGAAATTATCATCAAAGCAACTATCCTCGCATAGCAGGACATTAAATCACCCATCAGTATAGCAGTAGACACATAGGACTCGGCGACTGGAAAAGTCTTGGAATAATGCTTAAGCAACAGCTGGAAACCTTTGAGACCGTTGCTAGACACTGAAACGAGGTAAAGCACTTCTAGCAAGGAACTCCTAGAGATGCACTGTGCTGTATGGCACCTTCATAACTTTATAAAGGGCCAAGAACTCACTTTGTCCTCGGTCACAGACCTCTCTAAGCTAGTCTTCAGGAAAGTACTACTCTCTAGAGTTTCGACAGCCGTACCATATTTCTCAGTTTACCTCGGATATACAACACATTTCTGGGGCAAGCAATGTAGTGACAGACTCAATGTCTCGTATGACTTACATGAACAGGTTTCAAGGAATTAACCTTGAACTCACCCAGCTTCGATAAAGACACTGATCTTTAGCACGAGTGATCTTCGACAACCCTGAACCTAAGTATTAAATAAGTGGGGAGAGGTGTTAAACTTTACTTTGTGGTACATCTACAGGTAGGGTTCATCCAGTAGTGCCAAAACGTTATCGACGCAAAGTCTTTAATACTCTGCACAAGCTTCCTCATCCAGGCGTTTGTTTCACCGTTAAGCTCATCACAGAGCTATTTATTTGGCCTGGTATGAATAAAGATGTGAAGGAGTGTGTATACTTCTGTGTAAGCTGCCAGAAATCCAAGGTGGTTAGACACAAATGTCCCTTTGGGTCTTTCAAAACCTCCGAATCTCGTTTTGACATGTTCAACAAGATTTGGTGTGATCCTTACCGGACTCAAATGGACACTGTTACGTCCTAGTCTGTTTAGACTGCTTTACACGATGGCCAGAAGCAGTACTCGTCATGGAAATTACTGCTGAAGTGATGGCCCTCGCCGAACCTCGTCGAACCATGTAAAGAAACCAAGGTTATTCCTCAACTATTACTACGGATGGTAGACTCCAGATCGAATCTGGACTTTTCTATTGTTTTACCCCACTTCTACGATTTACAAAATTCCGAACGCCGCCTGCTGCCCACGGCTCAAGGATGAAGCGGCGATTTCGTTGATTATTGAAAAGTTCACTCAGCTGAAAATTTTTTACAGTGGGCTGACTCTCTTCCATTCGTATCACTTGGTATTCGTGATTCAGTGAAAACTGACGTTGGATACTGTGCAGCAAAACTCGTTTAAGGAAGGGCATGGACTTTGAGGAGAATTTGTAAGTCATTCATCCTCAATAAATATGGATCTAAGTACTTGCAGGAACAGGCTTACAAACGCCACGTGTTCAATTAAACCTGGTTTTACTCGATTGCAGCTGGTGGATATTTTCGTCCAACTCTCCCAACGTTATTGTACTCAAATTTTCGTACGTCGCGATTCATTACGACGAACTGTCGAAATGACGTACGAGGACCCTCCGAAGTCCTTCAGCGTGAACCTAAGTACTATTTCATCGATGTTTTCTAATATACGCACATATGTGTGTTTATTTTTGTGCTTATATGATCAGGAAAGTTCTCTGCGCAAAAATTATTATTATATTAAGAATACACATGCATACCAGTTTACTATTCTCTTTTCGAACTTTTCGTGTTTGTACGCGCGTATACGTGTATTTCGACATGCACTTACAATTTCCTTTTCTCTTTCTCCCGGACGGCTGATAAAGGCTGAAAAAACAGACTGAGATTACGATGAACTGAGATATTCACTGTACTTTTTTATTGTTATATTGTGCTACAAAGCCCCTTGTATTATGGAAAGATGACCAGGTACTGTTGAAAGTGGCAAGCTATCAAAGGGGTGTTTAGCAACGGCAAACTCGTTGGTTTAAACTCCTGAACCGTCAAGTACTAGGCTAATCACTACCCCTACTAGGGAGAAGTGGAATGTAGTCCTGTAAGTCCTCGACATTTATGCTCACCTCGTTAGTTTTACCAGTCAAACTTAGTTGAAGTGACTCGGTCACGTATTCACATTAGATCATGAGTGGGTACACCTTGCAAAGCATCGCTTGCAAACTGCTAGCCGGCTTTCAAAATGAGGATCATTCACATATAAGAATACTAGTGAATTAGGCAGTTTTGATAGCATAGTAAGAGGGTAAAAATAGTGGAAAATATGAGTGTGTATATTGAAGTACACCATTATTCAAAAAGTTTCCATCCTGATAGTGTTCGATCTACTCTTATGCTCTTCCTATAGTGGCAAACAAAGCATCTTAACCAGTCTTCTTTGTGGCCAGTAATATCAGTTAAGAAAGTTTCGGTACATAAGTTAAATGGATTTTATAATTTGATCCACATATGTAAGGCGATAAGAATGTCCATATTGTCCTGATAAGAGCCCTGCTAAATGATGGTGAACGTGTTCGAAGCAAGTGTCTGGACTATTGAAAGAACCTAAAGGCATTCCTTGTTTTCAGTCACCTGAGATTTTCGGCAACTAGTACCCTAGCGTTCTACTCTATCACATCTTTGTTTAAACTCAGATAGTAAAACGTTTATGCTATGAACTTAACGGTAGCTCGAACAACTAGATGAAAACATTTCTGCAACATACCGAAGACCTTTCAACAAGAATGTTTTGACATAGTTGGACGATCCCTACCAGTGTTACATGGTAAAGTTCCCTTTCCGGATTCCCTTCTGTCAAACCCTTGGTCTTCGGATTGTCGACAACAGCAGCAATGTCAAAAGCAGCTTAGTTATTTTTTGTTTATTGCAGTAAAATGGCTCTCACTGCTGCGTCTACTGAAATATCAGTGTGTAACGAGCTGTCGTGATGTGTATGCACAGTTGCTTGACAATACAGTTCTTCACAGCAGTAAATCCATTCTCATGGACCACGTATTTTGACTTTTGGACTTCCACAAAATTGATCTGTTGGTGGTCTCATTAAGAACATCGTGATTAACCTTGCTAACCCGTTGATTTTAGGTAGTATGAGCAACTCGATATTATATAATTGCTGTGTATTTTATGATCTGATGCGGCCTGGTTTACTTGTATATAAACTACGTATATTCGAAGTTTAGGCTGATATTGTGTTCTGAGGTGAACGGGAAGAGCTAACGGGGAAGGACCAATAAGGATCCACAGTTAACGCAAGACTGCCAGCGCTGTTTGATGTATCATTGGTTTAGCACAAGAACAAAGTTATAGAAGTCGGAATTCTGATTGGCGATTTGGTTACGCGTCAATTGATAGGGGCAAAAGCCATAACTTTCCCACAAAGCTCTTTAGGAACACGTAGCTTCGTTGTCTGAGATCATAAGATATGGTTCAGAACAGAGGGAAGTTACAAGTCTACGATATGGTTCACCTGTTTTCTTTAGAAACTACGGCGAAACTCCCCATCTGAATAAAATACTTCTTGTTTATCTTGCCAATTGAGCAATTTAAATTTGCACGTTCATCTTTTACATATTTACATGTATATTTTGATGCTTTGCTATAGCAAAAGTTTCCTGTACTACAAAATATTTTTGCAACAGTTAAAAATACCACTGAAAGACTGTGAAATCAAGTAAAATATAATGACATTTATCTTCATCAGAATCCGAAAATGAGACTACTTTAGTACCAAGTTTAAAGGTACATAATTTAGTCCAGCAGATGAAGAATTACAAGTCGTAGGGATTAAATGCTTCCCACCATCCTATATCCATTTTTACACAGTAGTTACTCCTGAAGACCGGGAAAGTTAGACTTTGATAGTACTTCGTAATTGAAGTAGATACTCATTCCCACCTATTATGGTCTAAATGAAAAATAACACAAAGAACACAGCTGATATTAGTTGATTTTTTAATACTCTAACATATGTTAGTACTGCAGAATCTACAGAACGAAATAGATCAATTTATAGGTGGCACCACGAGATAAACATAGTGGGATGTAGTATATCACGAAACATTCTGGAAGACGTCAAAAAACTAAAGTACGTATCAAAGCCTATTTTAATACGTTATGATTAATACAAAGCTGAGAAAAACGGTAAATTACGCCTAAACATCATACAAACAACTAAGTAAGAAATAATTGTATTAACGATCCAAATGTTGGTTAGAAAAATAGAGGTATATTTAAAAAAAGAACTCCTTAAAATTATCAGAATCAAAATAACTGAGAATTCGTTATGTACATTGCAAATAATAAAGAATATAAGTAAATGTGAATAATCGAGGTAGTAATTATGAACAGTTTTACAAGCAATAAAACACTGAAAAAATCAGAGATTAAGTGCTGTACTAAAATTCAATTTATCATCCAATTGGTTCGTTATCAACAAGTGAACTAGATTCTTCTGAATCTGGACTACGACTATTTATAGATGAACGACAATAATTTAGTCGAGAAAGTGTTTGGTTAACATCCAGTGCAGCGCAATGACATTGACATCCACTGACCGGACATTCTTTCGAATAACCATTATCTCCTAAATCAAACGAATCTCCATAAAACCAATCTGTCAAATGACTAGCATGACCACCATGTCTACAAGCTTGACACCAAACAAACCAATCAGCTATCGGTATGGAATTTGGGATTGATGAAGATTTTTCAGGTGATCTAATTTTTTTTTCAAAAAGCGAACAATTTAAACAGTAAGAATAATGTAAAATACTAAAGAGTAAAATAAAATGTTACTTAAATGATGGGATGAGAAGTTGGATAATTTATGAGAACAACCTCAGAGCAAAGAATACTGTCGTAATAATCTCTTCTACCTAAACTGGACGAGTCTAGACACAATGAGGTAAATTTTAGGAACCAGAGAACTCACAAACCATCTCAATTTCAAACAGAAGGTGGGAAACCGCAAACGGGGCATTGTTGGAGGAAGTCAACTGAGGACCTAGTCAAAGGTATTGTGGTGTGTGCTACTGATGTCGACAGATATAAGTAGTATGTATCATCAGTCGAAAGTACAATGCCTGGAGGCAGAAGAACGAAGAACGACTGCCACGGTAGAGGAAGAACAGTGAAGTCTAAGACGATTGGGTGACATTTTGCAAATGAAGTATTCATTGTATGGTTTTCAGATTTTACTAAGATGTTCTGTAATTGTGTATTTAAATACATGCGGTTGTCCCCATTTGTGTTCTCGTTCACTTTAGTATTAGACAAAATTAAAGTCGAAAAAGTAGTATATACTGAATATTTGCTCATGGAAAACATGACTATTCTTTACTAATCTTTTTAAGTGGAATTCCCTCATGTAAGTTGAGCTATAAGAAATAGGATGACCAAGATTTAGTACTATTCTTTTTCAATTACAATTCAAATCATTAACATTTGACTACGTACATATCTTAAGACGAAAACTCATGAATCAGGATGGAAAATTGAACTTCAGAAAAAAAAGAAAGACGTTTACTCACGAATATAGATTTTTTTGATTACTTTTATTTATAGCATTGTTCTCCGACAGGGGTATGGACGAACTCGTGGTATTGATTTGCATAGCATTCATGAAATCAACAGATAATTTACCAGTTGATTTCAATCCTGTTTGTTGAAACATTGATTCAGCCGATTTTATAGCATTGGTAACAGACATGTATTCATTTAATGGAATCGATGTGCCTAAATGCATCAAACATATTGAACATCTAGGTAATGGTTTACGACAATGCTGACAGATTGTCAATTTACCACCACCTCCATGCATTTGTAAATTTGTTGATGTTGTTGTCGTGGGCGTTGGTGAACATGGTGTATCAATAATGGATGAACTGTTCATGGTATTACTAGTATTACTACCACCACTGCCAGCACCACTAATATTGAACACGTTTAATTTGTTACTTTGAGGTTCTAAACGCCAACCACAGAAACCGCAAGCAACAAATACCTAGTGAAAACAAAAGTGAGACAGAAAGAGATGATAATGTGAATATATTACTTAGTGGTTGAAAGGAAACTAGGGGCAGTCAAGTTAGAATGTAGCATCAGTCCGTGAAGTCAGTAATCGTTGGTTCGAGTCATGTCGGTAACTATGGATTACCTGGTTAAGATCCACACGATTATCGAGACTAGCAGTTTGAAATTCCGGCTGATATAGCTCAGAATCGTCCACAATGTTGCAGGTGTACTAATTCATTGTCTTCCCTTAGGTCCTGAATTCATTAACTATCTCATTTTTATTTTTTATTCCACGAGTCAATATTTTCTTTCTAAATCGTACCTCGTTCACCCTATCTTTCCTAATACCAATAATACAAATCTGATATTTCACAGTTTTGATGTGGTGTGATAGCTTGAGCCGAAACACATATGTGACAGGTTCTGCGACGCATATGACTGACTTAGTAGTCGATGACTCCTATTACGCAATTCATTCGCATTTTACCTGATTTTAGTGCTATTATTAACATTACGATAATTATGAACCTTTACAGTAATTAAGTAACAAGATAATCAGATTGGAAGCTACTTAAAAACTACTCATAATTAGACCATTAGTAAATGTATACTTTATCAATAAAAGTCAAACGACAGGCCGTATAAGTTGGAAATTTCAGATAGTGTGATAATATAATGGAGCATAATGCACGCATTACATATATTATCATTCATATACATATATACCTATTTGAATAATAAAAAATATGGCACTAAAAGATATTACGTAAAAGACAAAAGATCACATCATAGTTTCGTTATGTAATATTAACGATGGTTACTGAAAATTGCATACACCACTACTGATAAATAAGAACTTTCGTCTAAATTTGAATGAATAGTTTCACAATATTTGGGCGCCGAGTTAATGTGAGACATTAAAGAGGAAGAATGCATCTGTAAAATCTCGGCGAAAGAATTTGAAGTAAATCCAACGTTTTACCAGGCAATCTGGTCCAAGCTTTTTCAAGCAAAATATAATCCAACAACAAAATTATCGATATTTTCCTTAAAAAAGCTTGAACCAGATTGCCAGGTGAAACGTTGAATTTGCTTCAAATTCCTCTTTCATGTCACTACTACTGATGATTTAATTTGTAGATTTATCAGTTTCACAAGATTATATCAAGATTATTTTGTGTAGCTAAGATGTTCCTTAACATCATTCAGGATTTCACAACAACACTGCCTTAAAACTTCTTAAAAAATGTTTTGTATTCTCAACTCTATTAAGTTTCTACGATCTACTACAAAATTATGATTATTAATATCAGAGCATCCCGTCTATCATACTTAGTTATAAAAGAATATCAGATTAAAGTTTTAGGATTTCTGGTTATGTTGTATTTTCCGAGCTCTATGGGTGATTAATTCAACTTTAAAACTATGGTTTTTGTTTTTGACAACATTATCATTTTTATCAGTTTAGGAGTTGTGGAGATTGTTAAGTTTTTGATTGAGACCATGAACCAGTAGGTTAAGCGTTCGCGCGTTAGACTGAAGGCCATGAAGTCGAATCTCACGGGGGAGGCAGGATCGTGGATGCGCACTGCTGAGGAGTCCCACAATAGGACGAAACAGCCGTCTAGCGCTTCCAGGTTTTCAATGGTGGTCTAAAATCAATCGGTTCATGATCTCAATCAAAAAATTATCATTATTGTTTACTTCCTGTGGAAGTGAACTATTTGATTATTTAGTCAGCGTTAAATCAAACAGTTTTGATGATCATGTGTGGGAATGGTTATCTTTGGAAGCCTTTTTAATTGTCTTTGTATTCCTATTGAGTGTTTCATACTATTGACCATATGGCCATATGATTAGTTAATCATTTGGCTTAGATAGGATTCATGTTGATTACAGATTGACTTAAATAATATGCTTTCTGAAATTCTTTGAATTTCCTAAATTAAAAAGTTCGACGTTTTTTCTTCCAATCGAAATTATGTCCATGGCTATTTGCGTACAGTGATACGAGTGACATAACATTATGTCGTTTGTGTTAGTGTACGAGTACATCGAGGAAGTACCCAATTTGCCTAATATATTTGTCGTAATTTATTTTTTAAACATATAATAGTTGTCTTCTTTTACTGCCGTATCTTATGGTCATCATAAAATGGAATAAATTGATTATGTTGCCTTATGAGAGACTTTGACCCTAAAGGGCTTTAAAATCCTTGTGATGATTTCTAAAATATATGATAAAATAACTTGTCCTTTGCATTCTGGAATTGTGTAAATGTGTGGACTCGCTAGACACTTTTTGATTACAAGAATGATAATTTTGTGGGGATGAACAGAAAGTGAGTTTCTTTATTCCAGGTTTTTTGTGTAGTGAGAGTCCAGAGCAGTAAGTTCTCACTCTTTAGAGTAGTCTCTACGCAACTACATTTACATATTACCGACTTGTTACTGTTGCAGGTTTGATTCGTGCGTCTTTTTGTGAACTGTTTTCGAATTCACTTTATTTGTTTTTTTTACTAGTACATAATGGTAATTTCCCTTCTCACTCGTACTTTCTAGTAAACGCGGTGCCTTTAAAGATGTTGCTAATTGCCTTATGCTCATTTCTTACCTACGTAAAATATCCAAATCTCTAGCTTGATTATTGATAGGACTATAGCTTTCACTCTTTGTATATCAGCTTAAGTGCTTAGTCTTGATATATGTAATCTCTATGGACTTCCTATTGTCTGTTTGTAAATTTGATATATATATATATATATATATATATATATATATATATATATATATATATATATATAGTAAGGGACAAGGTTAGTGAAAATGTATAAAATACTTATTTCTTCCAAGCATAACTTAAAGAACCAATGATTGACCCTAGGCCCTTTATAAATTACAAAATGAAAACATATGCTTTGATGAGCATTACCAATTATCAAGAAACCTAGGTTGAGGAGGGAATCTTTTCGACTATACCCAACAATTTAATATTAAAATATAGTGCGCGAAATGCTGGATTAGTTAGAATAATGATAGCAACACTGAAATATAGCCAACAGAGTATGATCATCGTTAAGAAGGATCAAATAAACATTACATTGTTAACTGTACCGCTCAATGATTAGTCAGTTGTATATTATAGAATGAGCTAATCCAAGATATAAGGTCTTTTGTTACCTTCACAAATGCCACCAAATGCCCTGGTACGGCCAAGAGTGGGGAGAGTTCGCCCTCCCTCTCGAAATGCTCTCATATGGCCACGCATATATAGCCTCTGACAGGGAAGTCCTACTCACTGCCTTCACGTGGCGGGGGTGTTGTTTACGAAAATGAGAGGATGAAAAGCGAATGTCCGGCGCTTTAACCGGGTTGGTGGACATGGAGAGTCCACCTAGAGGAGTTTGAAAACCCTGATTCCAAACCAATGGTGCACATGGGCTCCAGTATCCTGAAGGAACAAATGGCGTATGAACCAATCGTTGGTCACCGGCTTCCATGGGACTGCATCTTTTTACATAGCTCCACTGCATTGTGGATCAGACCTTTTAGTCGAAGGCTCCGTGTGTGGCCCCTTAAGAAAACCATCTCCTTCGGTTTGGGCACCCGGGTAGTATGACAGCCCTCACACATATCAAATGAGATCTGTGTGGCGCATATGTATTTGGTGCCTCCGTGTACCAATATCTATGTGTTAAAATAAATCAATAAAATAACCTTCACAAATAAATCCTATAAAAATTCATTAACAACGTGATAAGAATAGGTGTAACCATCATATTCAATCACTTTTTTGGAGGTTTATTTAGAATTTGTTAATCTTTACAAAATTACACTAACATATATGATTAGGTGTATGTTTATAAAAATCTACTTAAACTTCATTCGCAATTTCGAAAATAAAATATTGCAGGTTTTATAAGCAGTTGGATAAAATGAAATGTGATATATACACCAATGCAAAGGCAATTATCAAAAGCTCAAAATAAGCAGACAAACTATGAAACGTACTTGATTAGCACCAGCGATAAATCCAAAATTTCGAACTTTACTACTATATGATGAAGAATTAGTGTTGTTTGTAGAAACAGTAGTAACAATACTATTGGTAGTAGTACTACTACCAGCACCAGAAACAGTACTAGTAGTGGGCATATCTGCTTCAACACTCTTTGATGATATCCACAATGAACTAGACATTTGAGTTCGAGAAGTGCTGGGATATAAATAATCGGATAAAAGACGTGATTTATATGTGATATCAAAGTCAGCTCGATAGAACCACATTTGCCACTGATCTAATAGGTCACGGTAGCTAAGGTGAGAAAATCATGAAAAATAATCAGACAAGTAGAAATATACTGAGTGACTAACAAAAAATCGCTGTATGCAAATAAGGTATGAGACAATTAGTTAAGAATTAAGCTTTGTAGGTTGTATCTGTCACAGATTGATTTGAATTGGGCTACCAACGAAGAAGGGGGATGCATCACAATTTTAGAGAGAGCGAGAACAGTAAAAATAAACAGTTCAACTAATATAGAACCATAATAGCTTTTCGTCCGAGTTTCATAACAAAACTGAATTAAAAATATTTAGCATTAGCTATGCATGAATAATTTGTGCAGTTCATACTGTTTAACGATTAATATACTGAGAAATACATATGCATAAGACTTCTTTCATTTACTAACATTATTCAATGTGACTTGTGAAATACAAAAAGAACTACTGTAGTCTTGTATCTTTAATAATGATATCTTGATTATTTAAACAAGTACTGTTACAACTTATTTGTAAGATAATGATTGAATGATTTTTTTAAGAGGATGAAGGGTAATATGAAAAAAAACACAACTGAATTTACTTATTTATTTGAACATATAAATATTGGCACAAAGTAGCACCAAATATATATGCGCCACATTTCGTCGTTTGATTTGTGTGCTCAAACCGAAGCAGGTGGTTTACTTAGGGGGCCACACCCCGAGCCTTTGACCTAGAGGTCTAATCCACAAAGCAGTGGAGCAACGTCAGGAGATGTAGGCCCATAGTAGCTGGTGATCGACAATGGGTTCATATACCATTTGTTCCCCAGAATCCTGGAGCCTATGTGTACCATTGGTTTGAAATCAGGATCCCTCGGATCCACCATAACTATCGACCCGGTTACTGCCGAACATTCGCTTTTCGTTCTCTCTATTTCGTAAACAACCACCCGGCAGTGAGTAGGACTTCCCTAGCAGTGGTTGTATGCAACTGGCCATGCGAGAGTATTTCGAGAGGGAGAGCTGATTCTCGCCAACCTCGGCCTTACCAGGGCATTTGGTAATGATACCTATTAAAAGTGTATTCTTATTACTTAAAAAAAACTGGGATTTGTGAAAAGTTGTAAAATGACTAATTCACACTTATAATCCACGAAAATTGAAATCCAAACATTTTTAATAGTCTAAATTCTAGACAACTAGTAACATTGTAAACGAACATTGATTATTGTTATAACTATTATATAGAATAGATGGAATTTAGCTAGCAATGTAATCCAGAGCACACATTTCGTACCGTTTAGAACTCGTCAGCTGGATGCATTTGCATCCCAGAGTTGATGTTCATTGTGGGATAATCCAAATCACTACAAATTAAATTATTATTATCATTATTATTATAGAATGACACAAAAGCATTAAGTGAGTAGCAATCAGTGTTATTCATACTTTTTCCAGCGTTTCTCATAACTCGACACTTACCATTGAACCCAATTAGCTATTTTAAGCCCACCAAGTTTAATAATCATAGGTTGTTGATCACTAGTACCCGCCCCAGACGAATAACCACGGCCTGCATATCCTCCTCCTCCTAAAGGTATGGACAATTTCTTATCAACAGTTGATGACCGTACACCATTTAACACAATTTGTACATGACGTGAATTATTCACATTATTATTATCGTTCATATCAGTTCGTTTTTCGTTGTTTACCATTGAATAGTTATCATTTAATGATAACTGACAAGCGTGTAAACCAACAATTGCAGCCGATTGAACATCACCAGTTGTATCAACATAGTTTTGTATTAGGTTAATAAAATCATTTGAACAGAGACCAGTTAGTAGAATCGACTCTAACTGTCCACGTTGAACCATAGAATTACAAGTTGAACGTAAGAAGACAAGAAGCTAGGTGTGTGCATGTTCATCAAATGAAAGATTAAAAAAAAAGTGTTATTAATAAATTAGGGAGGAAAGTGAAAAGCATGATAATTTTTATGTGTAAAAGCTTTTCCACAATCAGGTCGAAATATGTTCAACTTTTTCACTGAAGAAAATCATAGACATAAGACGTATCTATAGCTTAAATGTGTAGCGATCAATGTCATATACTTCAAATCCTTCTTAGTGTTGACCAAACTCTATCGACCAAGTTACGGCATAGCCACTAGTCTAATTGACTTGACAACGGGTGTACTATACTGAGATCGCAAGTAGTCTGGTTGGGAGTAGATAACTGGATACCATGGATCTAGGTTTCGTACCATTTGGCACTCGTCAGAAAGGTATACCTGTGATTTTTCATGAACTGATTCTGCCAGACAGATTTGATACACTTCCAATCAGCTTCACAGTCAGAAACGTTTTTGCTGAGCTATTCGTTCTGTAGGATTGAGATGTACTTACAATTGGTTGATCACTAATTAGTGTCAAGTACTTTCTAGTGTTAATCAATTTCTACATATATAAAGAACTATAAACTGATTAGTCAGAAAATGTATACATAAGGGGTTTCTTACTTATACGACTTATTTAATCAACAGTGGAAATAAATAAATGTTATCCTGATTGCAGGTTAAGTCTTTTGATGAATCGACAGGTAAGGTATAATAAGAAATTTGCAAATTATGTTAATCCACATTACCCTAGAGATGGAACAATGATAAAGGTATTGAACAGATATAAAATATATATATGTATTCGTTCAAGTTACCATACCATAACATTATCAATACAAATGTCATAGAAGTAGCAGTAGTAGTAACAGTATCAGTCGTAGTAGAAAGGATTAAACAGAAACAATAAAACTCGAGAATTGTGAATTTGAAGAATAAATGACATAAAATAATTCTATATCTCGAAATATACAGAACGACAAAGAGTGAATAGATCCAGCCATAGCGATTGATTTCGAGCTATATCACCCGAAGATGCTAACCATTGGTTATGATAATCACATCAACCACAAACAAATAGTGTTTCTGCCTATACAGCTCAGTACAACATTTAACGACTTCTTAGACATGTTGTTTAGAAGTGTTCCTTCAACAGCCAACAGATTTTCTCCAACTTACACCTATAACAGTAGACAACGTGCATCGAGGTAGGCGATGTTTGGATACATGCAATACATATTTCAATCACTTTAGTCAGTGAATATTTACTGGCTTATCGATCGATTTACCGTCTCTGTCTAGTCCCTTTTATCTAATCTACTTAGCCCTTTGGCCCAACACATTCGAACAATGCTTTAGTGACACATAAAACCAAATACCAATAACCCTCGAATATTCTGTATTTTGACAGACAAACAGTAAAACATAGCAAATTGTCGTATGATATACGTGCTCCTCGGTTAGCAATTAGATGAACATGTCACCTACGGTACAGGTGATGCGAACTGACGAAAATTAAGTCAGCTTTTTGAATCCGTGAAGAGATTTCTCCAAACATCAACCAACCAAGGCTGGTGAAACATTCAAGGTAAGTGAAGCGATCGATGTGCATAGTTATTTCATTCTCTATCATTAGTTTAGGCGTTGACACAAAGCACTCCTGGAGCAACATTTTACATTTACAGGAAGAAATTTGAAATATTCTTTTAGTGAACACAGTGAAAACAGTAATATTCATTATGGAGATTGGACTTACATCATCATCGTTTAGATATAAACAGGCACATGCGACTCGGTCAATAAGACATAGGGCATCGTCATTCTACAGAGAAAAAAAACCAAAAAGTTAATTTGTATTCGTACTCAACACGCATAATGTTGATGACAGAAATTCGCGGTACAAACAGAATGATAGCTCATTTAAATTGGCAAATATTTACACGACGGTTCTTAGACATGATAATCAATCATCCGTAAATATTATCAATAAAAATTCAACTACTGATTGTATTCTTTGTTATAAACATATTAACAGTATTAGTTAAATATCAAAAACATAAATCAGTGCATGATATTCTTAAGTACTCATGTCTTTCGGTAATATACCTAATTAAATCCTCAAGTTTCATTTGTATTGATTGATTGAATCTTCCTACTGATGTCTAAAATTGTAATTAATCAGTCTCTTTAGGAATATATGCAAACTTAGGAGGATTGACTCGATATTGTGATTAAGTCACAAGAGTTATAGGCAGAATTGGATTGTGACTAGCTCTGGAACCCAGGATGCGCGTTCCATCCACTTTGGGACGCGTCAGTTGGATGATAGAGTGCAGTCACATTTCGGATGGACAACGACTTGTTTCGTTAATGATAAATCTTTTAACTCAACACACGATTAGATTTACTAGCTGCTTCTAATAATCCCAGACTAAATCTGTACAACTTGAACACAAGAGAAAAAGAGAGAAGTACTAAAAGAACACTTTGCTTCAAGGTTAATTTATGTAGAGAAAAACGAGGGTATTTATAGTATTACAGACAACTTTGGGCCTCTGGAACATACTAAATATGGTGGCACCATGCATAAAAATCCAATCAGAAACGTGACATGTGACTTTTCAATTTCTAGGTGTTTCTAAGACGTTTCTATTACACGCTGATTGAGTAGAATGGTTCCCAGCGTTTTCTAGACCCCCATGGACTTCTCCGAATACTTATAAAATCCCAGCAGTTACCAAATTTGGTTTATTTCCACAAACGTATAGAAGATCGAGGTCATTTGTAACCCTATAATTTAACCATGAAGTAAAGCCTGATCCCCACGTTGCGCCTTTTCTATACCATATGGTTCAAGCGCAGGAGTAGTCCGGGAATATAGAAAGCGGCCAGCAAGTCAGTAGCAAGAGTTCAAATAGAAAATATATCAAAACAGAATAGTTCTAGTAATATAATTAGAATGTCCGACAAGTATTATCGTATTCATATAAACGAGAGTTCAAAATATGGCAATAATAATAGTAAGTAATGTTTCTTATCTTTCTTTATATATAAATTATAAGATAGTCAGCATAATACGGTAGAATACCTACGATTTTGTGTTATACACATGAAATGCAACTATATCTAGAGGCTGTAACTCTCTATTACCTGATCTCGTACTCTGGAATGACAGGACTTCATAAAGACAAAATCAAATGTATACATCAATGGATTACAGATGTCCCTCTAGAAACACAGATCGGACACTACGACTACAGACTACAAAAAAAATGATAAAAACAAAGAATGGTAGCACACACTACAAAAGGAAAACATACCAATATTGATTGAAAATCACCACCTTGACGACTTAAGAATACAAACATAACACGTAAGTAAGGGTTTTGCAAGTGTTTTATCAAGTTGGCACATGTTGTTCGCCATAATTCATTTCTTGTATCTGTGTAACCAGCTAAAGCCAATGCGACTAGATCGATATCGGCATCTTTATTATTGATCGACCGACAAAGAAAAGAAATAAGCACATATTATCGTATGAGCAACGTAAAACAAGGACTAGAGTAAACAGACTATCATCATAAAGAGAGATATGTCAAATTATAGTCAAAAATCTGTTCCAATTCTAGCTATAGTAGATGAATCCCATTTCGGACTAATCGACTGAATATACCAACACAATACAGTGTTAATATATACATTGGGAGTTGAACCTAGTCTCTTTTGCTTTCAAAGCCCAACGCGTTATCCACTGAGCTAGTGAGTTCAGATAGCCACTGAGACTGATCAAAACTCAATCTTGAAGATCAATGAGATAACTTAAACCCTTACTAACTATGGCCGAAGTATATTTAGACTTTCTTTAAAAGTTATTTGTATACATGTAAGACTAATGTGATAGTCACCACATTCCGCAGATATGAAAGATAACTAAGTCCAGCTAGACAGCATGATAAAACTTACGACTTTCTCAAGAAGCTATCTTTTTCTATAAATAAATCATATTGGCGACTGATATGCTAACTTTAGTGCAGCCATTAGCGGAAAATCAATCATCCCAACACTATCCATGCTCTTGAATCCACATTATAGAGAAACAAGTACACTGTTGACTGTGAACCATACCGTTCTCATAAATTTCATTTTCTATACTAGTTAATCTGTGAATAACCAGTATCGCTCTCAGCCAACTTTTAACTACGGTCCATACCTTCACAAGTACTTTCGAGCGAAACCTCCTCTCACGATTGAGGAGTGTTCCTAACAAAGCCATTTTTTGGCTTGCTAAACGGACAAATATCACTCCATGTGTTCGGTCAACAACTAAACAAATTTGAATTTAGTTGTTTGTATTTCACTGAATACCAAAATTCAAACAGTGACATTGTTAAGTTTTAAGACCAACTGCAGTTACTTTCAATGACGAAAGATTACGATTCCTCTAATTCGAACTCGCTAGACAGTAAGACTTGTCCACAACAATTAAACAATAATTAATATAATTAAACAACCAATCAAGTAATAGCGAAAGTCATAGAGGAAATGTGAATTGGAAAAATGTTGTTGCGATTATCCTTCCTCTAAAGAACTACCAATTATTGACAAAAAACTAGATAATCTGAAGTATTTTTGACAGAAACATGTTATTGTGTTTATACATGTCATTGTAAATCTTATTTTGGAAGTGTACTTTAATTAGAAGATTCATTATATGAGAAATGTAGTTTAGAGGTTGAGCGTTCGCGAGCGAGACCTAAGGTTCTGAGTCTGATTCTTGGATGTGGGATCGTGTATTCACACTCTTTAGAAGTATCATATTAGAACGGAACGGTCATCCAGTGCTTCCAGGTTTTCAATGGTTATCTAATCTCGATCGGTTCGTGATTTCAATGAAACATGAGAGATACGTTTGTTATTATTGAAGCAAAGATAGTTTTTATTATTATTACCCAATGTACTATGTTGTCTTATTATCATTTTAGATTCTATCAAAAAGGCATCTACCGAAATTCAGGTTCATTAAAATCTTCGTGGTGGTATAAAATGTTACCGCAGTGAATTTGTAAATATCTTTCGTACATACACACACCCGCGAACATAAACAGTACCTAGTTGATTCCATTTTTTAATTTAAGCAGAAAGTTGATGCGTTGAAGTTATAGAATGTAAAACTGTCAATCAAGCGAAATGTATTTCGTATGACAAATGAAAACAAACAAATAAACAGTCCAAAATAAACTTAACTATGAGCTATTGAAATACCTACAGAGTACTAACAATCATGAAGGTTTATGATGTCTACACTATCAAAATAGTTTATATGCTATAACCGAAAATAGAAGGATGAAATTTACCTGATGAAGCTCGATTTAGAAAACTTAACGCCCAATCAAATTTCAAATTAATTAAAGCCATTGCAGCTGCTCGTTCATATTGTCCTTCAGAGCATAAACTGAAGAAAAAAGAATGTGAATATCAAAGCGAAAAACAAAATTCCAACACGGAAATATAGAACAATATGAGAGACTAACCTTTCGAATACAGGACGCTGAACAACGTCTGTATCATCAAGTGGCCACATACAAAAACGTAAAACACGTGATCTATAAAAAAGAAAATCGAGTCGCGATTTCGAGAATACGTAAATTGAAAAAGAGATAAGTAAGAGACAAAAAGAATGGTGTTTATTAAAAACAACTTTTACATTAAAATGATAAAAACGCAAAGGACATAGTACATAACTCAATTGAATCTCAGATAAATAAATTCAGTGAAGAAAGTCCTGTGTACGTGACACAAATCTGCGCTAATCATGAAATGAGATATTTTTGTCAGTTTAGACATGCGACTTCAACCTGTGGGTTACACACTTGAATCTAGGCTGTCAGCATCAACATGCGACCTGAAACAAATGTGCATCGGTTCAAGTTGTAATGTAAGTAAATTGATGTTTCAAAATCTGATGAAGAGTACGTATTTGATCTACATATCAATGTCCATGTCTGAAATTTGTCAGACTTTCGTGAGTTTGGCTATTATGAGTTCTAACCACTCATAAGGTGACTATGGGTAGTGGTATTTTAAAAATTACTAGTCAGATTAATTTTTATGTATTTTTCACGAGAGTTTGTTCTTTTTTATAAACTGACACAATTAGTGAGTGACCAGTTTTACGAGATTACATCTACCAACCAGACCTCAATCAGTCTAGTTATTAAAACTTGTCCGCTGTCCTTAAGGATCTCTGGGAACAACTTATTTCACTGACTTTAAACTATAGCCTCTTCAGCCATACTGAATATTTGAGTCACGATTTTCATTTCTTATCCAGACTGTTCGTGAGAAAATAAAGAGTAGGTATGGGGATGGAGGAATTGTACCTCTCATTGTCTCAGTTACCTTATTTGAAGGTAGGTTTTGTTTCCTCTCCTTTGAGAGATAGGTTTTCCGAATATATGACTTCTTAACATGTCTTTCCAATCAGTTTAAAAAGTTGACTGGTTATAAAACCCACTACCACTTAAATTGGTAATATTACTAAGGTATACAAATAATAATGGTTCAAAGCAGGGTAAACAAATCCGTGCTTAATTTATACAGAAAGTAAGACTAAGTGCGTGGTATCAAGTTTATTGAGTCGATAAGAATAATTGATTAAACACTTCTAATGGTATATCCTATAGCCAATCCCAACGATGCAGCTATATCCAATTTAAATTTTTTCACCTGAATCTTAAAGAATGCGTTTCGTTAACTTGACTATTTTAATTGTGTTTTACTGAGCTATGAATGACACCGTTCCATTTCTGTTAATGTCATGAATTTTTATCATATGATTCAGTACAATTTTGAAGCAAGTTGTATGCCTTTGTAGTTATCAACTAATAACTGTTTGGTTTGACTATTACTTTTGAGTTTCTGAATATAACCAACATCACGAAACACTGCTACAAAATCATTTAGTCATTAACAATGTAGAAACTAACATAGACATCCATTGGCCTTAAGCTATCAAAATCCAAATAAAATATAATGACAAATAAACAAGTTGAAAATCGAAAGAATGTCACTCGAACAGTGTGGATGACAGTAGAAACTTGAAATAAAGTAAATCGTTCAAAAAGGACAATATGTGACTTCTCAGTGGTGAGGGTCTACGACACTAACAGCGACCGAACCCAGAATCTTTAGGGTTTCGCGGCGGACACTTAACCTTTAGACCACTGTGGTGAGATCCAACGATTAACAAATCTAGCTTCAATCAATTCGCGATGCTGCACAACTATTTTCCATTGTTCTCAGTGAGTAGCTGATCATTAGTGACTTGTTTCGAGAGGAAATTCCCAGACTCGTAATGGGAAGCTGCAACTTGTACAGTTTAACCGTGTCGAAAATGAGGCAGTAACCCACTAAAGACAATCAAAGATGATCATACAACATCACGAATAGATTAGAATTAGACATGTAAACCATTGGATGCTTGCTAAGTAATCTAAAAGTTAAGCGCTCACAATGAGATCTGCGGGATTGACTTGCAACAAGATCGTGTATATTCAACTACGAGGAATCTTATACTAGAACGAAACATTTACCTAATGTTTTATTTTGTTTTTATCAATGATATTCGATAATCCCAATAAAAATTTCATGCTAATAATCATAAAAATCACAAGGAAAATGTTTTCATAAATCAAAAAATTGGATTCAACTTAATTTACTAGAAGCATTAAGAGACTATTTTTTTTAAAAAAAAACACGAAAATATATGTGTATTTTTATCCATAATACCGTTCGGGACTCCGATATCGCGAAAATGGTAATTTCACATCTATTCCTTGCCATTCAACATGCATTAAAACTTCACTTGTTAATTTAGTACCAGATGATGACAAATTGTCGCATAAAAGTGAAATCACACCTGAACCTCTGAAAGGTACACGACGTTTCGAAGGAATGTTATCACTACCATTTCTCTGATTTGATGTATAGTTTGACTGTGATGAATCCACATCCACTGGAATAAAAAAGCCGACAGGAAAAACCAGAAATTTTATGGAAACCGTTATTTTTAAACAGTAATAATACGTTACATTTAGTAGTGAACTGATACTCTACAGTTAACTAACTTATAAATCAGATGGTGTACAACTGGCAATTATCACAAAGAAACGTAACATTACTAATGTATTGAATAGTTTGTGTTGTTCCTGTCATTAACTTATTTACTAGGTGCGGATTCATGTACATGACTTTGGATTACACATTAAGTATGAAGTTTATTCGGTCCCCTAAATCAAAGTGGAGTGACGTCTGGACTTGTTACTAAGTAGCTAAAAGCCGAATATTTTAACTAAACAGTCATCATTCCACTGATGCAAACCAGCTTTAATTTGGACGTGATGAATCACATCGTTCTAGCACTGTAAGAAAAATAACGGACAATGTCTAACTAGAATTAACAAGTTAATCCATAAATTTGATTCGCAACTTCAACTAGACATGACGAACTGAAGGAAATAACTTACAATGCCGTCGAATCAATGGGTCGTCCATGTAATCATTAATGTCTAGAAAAAAGATAAACAAAAAGTAGAAAAATCTCTGAGAGAAACGTATTGAACGACAAATGATGCAAACAAACATTTCAATACCGTATAGATCTGATCAGATTAACAATCAAATATATATATTAATATGAGTGTTCATTCCTCTTAGATATTTGTCGAAATCTTGGTTGATGGATTGGTATTTGAGGATGCCAAAAGTAATAATGGTTAAAGTTAGTTCTTAGACAACTACTGAGCCTCAGATTCGACAGAATTAAATCATACGGCTCAGAGTAATTCTAAGAGTGACTTTGGGATTGGCTACATAGGTTGCATCTGTCGTAAATGAGCCGTGTACCACAAGAAAGATAAAATCACAGAGAATATACAGGTTTAAAAGTGTTAGGGCCTCATTCTAATATTTTAACAATAAAAATCAGGATTCATATTGCGTGAATGACTGTAGCAGTGGTGACTTGTGTTCATATAATCCGTTCAATCATTAAAACCACGGTCTGTTGTATTCTTAGCTTTGATTTTACCAAAAAGTGGCATTTCTAGAAGACTTTTTTTTACCCAACATGAAGCGAACGATAAACAACCTCTTTCATAAACTACATACCTATGATAGATGTCATTCGGTAACAACGGTTAAATAAGATGCTAGTACTTGATAGTCCGAAGCTCTATAAGTGATCAACAAGTATATTATCATTTGAATTAGCCAAGATACCAAATCCAGTGCAAAACATGATTTCCAGTAGCAGCTTATCCGAGTTGTATTTGAAAATATCACTTTAACTCATTATAGTCGTTTCTGTTATTTTTAGGGCCGTTAATATGTAGTAGTTCCATCTGAGAAAGAATTAGACCCAACAGTCGGATCTTAAATGAATAGACAGTGAGTGACCTGGAAACTTGATTTCCTCCGACCCGTTGTGATATTTTATGATTGAATCAGTTCATGATAAAAAGTACATCAGCTGGAAAGATATTTATAACTATGCCAAATCTCAGATTATTTTCGTGTTAGGACCCGAGAAACATAATGAATGGTAACTTTGGGATCCTTTTATGGACCAATACTAAACGTATATTTCTATTGTATAGTTGTTAAGTAACTACACTATACATATTCGTCTTCCCCTTATTATAAGCTTTATTTTGACTCATAAGCTATTATTATACTTTTTACCATTCTTGAGTTATACCCAGTATATTAATTACTACCTCCCTCATTCACTGCCACATCTGGCTAATTCTTGTACGAATGTTGTTTCATATTTTATTGGTACTTTGTTGTCTGCTTGATTGGTATATAAACAGAGTATGTTTGAAATACATGATTCATATTGCAGAGGCTGAGAGTGGTGTTCTGGACTTAACTGGTTGGGCTAGGCGGAAAGCAGGGCCAATCAGGACTCTAGGCTGCTCGCACGTGTTTTACGTATCTTTGATCCGATCGATAATTCATTGCACATTAATCGGCGGTCACAAGTTATAACATTTCGTCTGGTATCTCATTCCCAAATCATATACAGAAATAAGTAGGTTTAGAGCGAAATGAAGATTTATATATATAATGATTTTTTAGACTAAATTTACTGATTATTATGCGAAGTTTAACAGTGGCTAACAACGGAATCAAGAACTCGTGTTTATTTCCAAAGTATTCCCTCAAAGTTTTATACACTTAACCACTGGCTTGTACAACCGGGATGGATTTCAATTTATTTGTACGGGTTTATGTTTCCCTATTATTGAGGTTAAGGACTGCGATCGATTAGTCTTTTTTATCCCCATGTAATCATTGACACTGGAATGCAGGTAAATCCATCTGACGAGTCCTAAATAAGATGAAGAGTAAGTCCTCAGTTCCACTACTAGATACTTAAAAACTTGCTTTAAAATGCTTGAAACTCAATAATAATATACAGGCAATCTGCTTACGATACATATACATCAAAACTTTTACAAATGAGTTGAATTTACTAACACAATCCACTTATTTCTAAATTGGATAGACCTTTTTAATTCGAATTAAATACAGTAGATTATTAATTAGCACTGCAAAAGTAGGTTACATTGTGATTTGATATTTCGAGCTAAAATACAGTATTGAGGAAAAGCCTATGATTAAACTGAACTAAACTGATAAATCATTCAACAAAGAGTAAGCCACTTGCCAAAGTCATGGCATATAATATTGAAACACGATGACGATCATGTATGCATAAAGTTATGTACAACGTTTTTAATGTTTAAAAAGAGTGGGTTGTATCAAGTACTTTCGATCATTTTTCTGTTTGTTTAGTGAAATTGTTGAATATTACAGTGTGATTTTCGTTTGAGAATTCACTTTAACCCCAAACTTTCTATTTATTATATATATTTTATTATCCAATACATTAAGTTGTACCACATTGATTTATTCATAGTAGACAGCTATGGATATTTCCAGATACTTGAAATGAAATCTTTTCAGGTAAATAAAAACTCAATATACACAACTCATTCACAAAATAGATATAAACATGATAGAAAGTTCTAGATATAACACACTTATTAAACACTGAAAAAGTTGTCAATAATCTCAGCTCATAGGATGGTTAATTTTATGGATGAATATGGTATTTATTACTAAAAGTTAAGGTTGGGAGGTACAGGTTAACAATAATTTGACTAAACATAAATCCTTATTCAAGCCCCAGAAACCTTAACAGTTAAGAGACCGTAGACAAATGTCGTTTTAAGGGTCACTTTCAAGTTCGTTGAGATTCGATAATAAACTAAACTAAACTTACATTTTATCCATGTCCACATTGTTCGAAGTTGTACATCGTCTTTGACAATCTCAACATAAGTGGCACCCGTAATCTGTAGAATAGGATGGGGTAAGAAAACTTATTATTATGGCATAAAGTTAAGATAGTGAAAGCATTACTTTTACTCTATCTAATGTAGCTGCGGTAATAAGCTAAAATCTAGTAAGTAATATATTTTAACTTTAGTCCGATTACGATTCTGTAAGGTTACTACTTTACTGTTCATCTCACCGTTGACTATGATAGTATCAGCTCATAAAGTTAAGATTAAGTAGGAGGTGAAATGAAAGTATGCCGGATACCCTAGATTAACATGTTCTTCTTTTGTGTTATCCAATCAACGACGTGGATAACAACAAATTTTATGCGTAATGAATATCACATTAGCAGAAACTCGGCATCTTATCACCTAAAACAACGTTTAGCTATTTATCGCCAATCTAGTTATCTTTGAGTTTGAAAAATGTTTAACGTTTATATTAACCTTTGTTGATTTAAAATAAACGTGATACTCATAAGTCCAAAAAGTTCCTGAATTGATGAGATACAACGGAAGTTGGAGGTTAACAGTGCTGAATAATCTTCAATTATAACAAAATAACTGACTAGTGAATATTGGAATGTCAGTTATTTTTTAATGACGTCTGGATATGAAGTTCGACGTTAAACATCTTGGCCGTAGGTGCTACACTAACATGGGTTCAAGGTACGTATATCATGACAATCCCATCGAGTTATAACGGCCAGAACACTAGTTCCTTTGTGTACGACCATGCCACCTAAGTCGGTTGAAGAGCGACAAGATCAAAAGCGATAAACTTATAGTTCGAGGACAGTCGTACTGCCTACTGCATCGAATATGACGATAGTACGCTTTACCATCAGACAACTAGCATCTTCTTACAAGTGAAGGAGCATTTAGAGAAAGTTCACCCTGAAAATAGTACACTTCACCCGTCAGACGCTGTCAGGCCTCTAAAATACGGAGCTAATATATTTAAGAAAGACTGAACCGAAGTCCGTGTATGGCCGGCCAAAAGCAGTTGCTCATTAGGCTCCATAATTACGCTCTTGAAATGGATACACAACAATTATAACCCAGTATCCTTTTCAGGTACTTTATGGAGAAGTATCCTTCCACAGTGTGGAGAAGCGAAGAGTGAAAACCCCCGTTATACCACAAGCAACACTAGAGATTACCTGGTTCACAACGAAATTCCATATTTATTACCTAATATTTTTTGCATTTGCATTATTAATCCACACTTTTTGCCCTTCAATCCTCTCATAAATCCTACCAGTACCAAGCATTTAAGTTCACGAATCTCAAAACATTGAGTTTAATAAGTACAGAAAAGAAAACGTCATCATTTAAAGATATACTATGGTGAAAAAAAATTAACAATACTCACATCGAGTCCATAGCCTAGTTCAGCACGTTTTCGCATAACGACTGCAATATCCAACTCCATGCAACGCTTCAAGTGAACAAGAAGTGCTGTTTGTTTTTCATGGCAATACTTATTACCATTAATATTATCATTATGATAATCTTTGTTTTTAATAATCTGACAATTTGCAAGATATTGTGCATTTGAGAGACTATATGTAGTATTACCATTATTAACAGAATTCTCTGATCGTTTATTTTCATTAACTGCATGTAAAAATTCCATTAGTGTTTGTAGATTACTGCTAACAATTCCTGTTAAATTGAATGCAGTCCAATCACGAGTATATGACCATACTAACGTTTGATTAGCTGACCATCCCTATTATTGCAACAACAACAAAAAAATACCAAGCACAATATAAACAAAAAGACAATAATTACGATGTATAGCATATGAAACAATGATTTACTAAACAATACTCATAGTGAAATGGGCAAAATGAAAAGAAAAAAACTGTTTCGAAATCCAACGTTTAATTAAAACAGGGAAATACAAAATCAATCTGAACTCGAAATAGAAACGTGGTATCATGATTAGTATCAGTACACAATGAATTAGAAATTTCACTGATTGAAATCATGAGTTAATTGAAGCTAGACCACCATGGAAAACCTGGAAGCCCTGGACGGCCGTTTCGTCCTAGTATGAGACTCCTCAGCAGTGAGCATCCACGATCCCGCACTCCGCGAGGTTCGAACCCAGGACCTATCAGTCTCGCGCCAGGAGCTTAACCAACTAGACCAAAACCTCCACAAACCCCTTCTGAGAATTAGAAATTTACTAAATAAAAATAAACAAGTCAAAATAAGTATTTTAATGATAGTACAGATCTAAACTATTATAAATCACAATGTTAATGTGATTTTACTAAACGAATTATCCATTGTTAAAACCAATAAGTAGAATGTTGACACAGTTTGATTGATTGATGTGTAGATAAATGATAGCTGTACACAGAACCGATTTGTTGACTTACGGCACTGAATAGGTTGCAACCATAATAATACCACTAGTCAAAAGAATAGATTTTTCTCTAGTAATATGATTACATACAAAGTATTTTGTACAATTATGATAAGTGATTGGAAGAAATCAATTTATAAGTCATACTTACTTTCTAATCAGTTAAGCTTTGATTGTTAAGCCAAATTACTGGGGAAGATATCATGAATATAAGAAAGTCGCTAAGATGAAACAAATGTTATTTATAAAAAGAAATGAAATAATACTATAGACTTTAGATTTAAGGCACAATAAAAAATGTATGAAAATAACTAAATGATAGCTGTTTACACGACAAAATACTTACAATGGCTGGACGTTCAACAAGTTGAGCTACATTTAAACAGCCATCACGATTCAAAGTTAGTAGACAGTTTACATTTGATGGATGCCAACTGAATGCCACCAGGTTAACATTTGATCGACTGGACGCTAAAAGATGAATAAGAAATAAAACAAATAAGCCTAAAAAACTGTACATTGTGTATTAGGAAAGAAATCTTTTATGGAGAAAATCTATAGTCGATAATCTACCATAGGAAACTAAATCACAATTTATAGACAATGTCGACATATTAGCCAAAGTAGATTCCAGATATTAGAGATAGGATTAGTGAAATCGTTTGAACATCAAAAACCAGAAAGGAAGTTCCCTAATAACCCAAAACGGTATGTCCACAATTTCCTCAGTGTTAGATCGGATATGGTGCAATTGGAGGCTTTATTGAATGGCACTAAATTCTGTTACCACGGGCATCAACTAAGTGTGGACGTGAAGTTTGAAAATTTATTTTCACAAACAACAAACTTTATCTTGAAGTCAGTCGAGGAACTTACTAGCTTTAAAACCACGTCGGTTGACAGTTGCCAACAATACAAGAATGGTGAATATACCATGAAATTTCCGCTTACCAAACAAAACTGAGAAGCTTTACATAAGCTTAGAGAAGACAACACACTGATCATAAGCAAGCCGGACAAACGATGAGGACTAGCTCTAATGAACAAAACAGATTACATCAATAAAATGTAGTCAGTTTTGAATGATTCGATTAAATTTCAAAAACTCAGCAACGTTAAGGATATGAATATGAGAGCAGAGAAACTACTGACTGATTCGCTTAAATAATTACTAGTAAGTAATAGAACAAGTGGCTATATAATAAAATCATAACTTATCAATGATTAGAAACACCTCTCTGTTGGTTGAAAATATCTGAATTTGATCAATGAATAATCCTAATCATCAATGTGCATTTGTATGGTTTGTTTTACTCGTCCTTTGACCTATCACCATATAACGTCTTTACGGCTTTCCGCTTTTTCATTGTGAAACAGATATACTTGAAGAATATCAAAATAACCTCTTAATAGAAGCATATCATTCATTTGTATTCATAGTCAGACAAAAACGATATAAACACATGAATTGTAGATATCAAAGTACTAAAATGAATATTTTACCAGTGCTGAATCACTTTGAGTTTGATGAAATAAAACAAATACATAAACTAAGATGGTGGCTAGTAGTGGAATACGGGACGCACGTCTCGTCTTATTTGGGACTCTTCAGCTGCATATACTTGCGTCCCAGGGTTGATGTTCACTCCGGGACTCGAACCTAGTACCGTTCGCTTCAAACGCCCTCGAGTTATCCACTTAGCTACTGAGCCCTGATAGTCACTAGCTTTTGCTAGCCACCAACCTCCTTTCCTTGTAATGCTTGTGACTTAAGGCAATATCGAGGCAATCCGTACAGGATGCACATATGCCAATAAGACACTGATCAATTGTAATCCTAAACATAAATAGGAAGATTCAATCAAACAATATAAAAGAATTAAATACATAAACTATTTATATGTAAGTGGAGGATGATAATATTCAATATTCCCTAGAAATCTAAGGAAGAAAACAAGATACTTACGAAATAGTAATCTTTCTAGCGGAATCTGTTCAGGTTCTTCTATAGACTGACAAAACACAGGGTATGTGTCGTACAATTTAACTGTACAAGAATCTGTTACCAGAACTCCTAGCCAAGCTTCTCTAAAATGTAAAAAAGAAAACTGGGTGTACGCATATGATGTAGTTGAAAGTAGCTCATAATATAATGCCTTTGAGCTTATTGAACTGGACAATAATAATATCAATCACAAATCGAAGAACGCCCCCAAATCCCCTGATATAATCGAGGGTGGAGAGAGTTCGCTCTGCCTCTCCAGATGCTCTCACATGGAGACGCGTATACAGTCACTGTCAGGGAAGTCCTATTCATTGACTTCTCGAAGCTGGATTGTCGTTTACGGAGTTGAGAGAACGAAATGCAAATGTCCGCAGCTTCAACCAGGTTGGTGGATACGGAGGATCCACTTAGGGGAGTTGGAAAACCCTGATTTCAAACTAAGGTTGCTCATTGTTGGTCATCGGCTGCCATGGGACTGTATCTCATCACATTGCTCCACTGCCTTATGAATTAGACCCTTAAGTCAAACGGTTCGGGTATGGATCCCTAAGAAAATCAACTACTTCAGTTTGGGTGCCTGGGCCATATTCCAGTCGATACACAAATCAAATGATTTGTGTGGCGCATATATATTTGGTGACTCCTCATACCAATGTTTAGGTGCTTAAATAAATTAAATGGATATATTTATTAAGCTCTTTGATTAACTTACTTAATAGACATTGTTAACTGGTTTTATAAAGCACCTTACAAAATGTACATTAATTGCACTGAAATGACTTGAAAATCCTGTTAACACTTAAGCTTAATAGTGAACATTAAAAACCTACTCACTCAGTATTGTCTTATCTTTTATCAAAAGCTTATAATTTTTCATGTTTCCAATTAAAAGTTGAGAAGCTCTGAAGATACATTTATTCTCTATATGCCCCTCAGTTAGTCAGTAACAACGTAGAACTTCGTACGTACGTACATCAGTTCGAGTTGCCACACCACATTAGCACAGAGATGCAGTTGTCAATTCAAATCCCGCAGTGTCATAAACTTTAACCAATATACACTCGTACTGTCATCTCATGGTAACAATGATTGATTGATTCAGAAGTATGACAATAATCAAGTTTCATACTGTTTGAGCTTTTTGAGCATAGTACTTTATGCATTTCTTTACATGTTCACATTGTTGTATACAAATAAATTATTTGGCATTTTCAACAAGTTATACGTACAATTAAATTTTTTTACCTTAAAGGACTCCACTTGATTTGTAGAACATCATCAGACTCCATAAATGTATAAACCTAAGGGTGTTTTTTTCCCCAGTAATTATAAGAAAATGAAATCTCATTAGTATCTGGTTGAGTTTGTTTGAAATATGAATGATTTATTTCATAACTTGATATATTAATCATGACAAGTCAAGACTATGACATATACATCTGTAGATATCACTACCAAGATTATATTTGATCATTTCAAATAAACTATGCACTAAATAGATTGTTTATGATAATAAACATACAATTGAATTTATAGCGTTACGCAAAGTCATGAAACATTAGAAATTCAATTTTCTATTCATTGAGATATTATAAACACATTATTTGATTATCATAATTCCGCCTTTAGCCCTTCTAAAGTCACTGCCGGTGCCAAGCCCGGGTAAAGGAAGAGGGTTGGGCATGGGGTTAGCGACCACATCCCGTAGAAAACCAACTCACTAAAAAACACTAAACAGACTGGTGAATAGTCTATGCTCCTCCATGCGGAGTAACAGGCGTAAGTAAGTAAGTAAGTAAGTAAGTAAGTAAGTAAGTAAGTAAGTAAGTAAGTAAGTAAGTAAGTAAGTAAGTAAGTAAGTAAGTAAGTAAGTAAGTAAGTAAGTAAGTAAGTAAGTAAGTAAGTAAGTAAGTAAGTAAGTAAGTAAGTAAGTAAGTAAGTAAGTAAGTAAGTAAGTAAGTAAGTAAGTAAGTAAGTAAGTAAGTAAGTAAGTAAGTAAGTAAGTAAGTAAGTAAGTAAGTAAGTAAGTAAGTAAGTAAGTAAGTAAGTAAGTAAGTAAGTAAGTAAGTAAGTAAGTAAGTAAGTAAGTAAGTAAGTAAGTAAGTAAGTAAGTAAGTAAGTAAGTAAGTAAGTAAGTAAGTAAGTAAGTAAGTAAGTAAGTAAGTAAGTAAGTAAGTAAGTAAGTAAGTAAGTAAGTAAGTAAGTAAGTAAGTAAGTAAGTAAGTAAGTAAGTAAGTAAGTAAGTAAGTAAGTAAGTAAGTAAGTAAGTAAGTAAGTAAGTAAGTAAGTAAGTAAGTAAGTAAGTAAGTAAGTAAGTAAGTAAGTAAGTAAGTAAGTAAGTAAGTAAGTAAGTAAGTAAGTAAGTAAGTAAGTAAGTAAGTAAGTAAGTAAGTAAGTAAGTAAGTAAGTAAGTAAGTAAGTAAGTAAGTAAGTAAGTAAGTAAGTAAGTAAGTAAGTAAGTAAGTAAGTAAGTAAGTAAGTAAGTAAGTAAGTAAGTAAGTAAGTAAGTAAGTAAGTAAGTAAGTAAGTAAGTAAGTAAGTAAGTAAGTAAGTAAGTAAGTAAGTAAGTAAGTAAGTAAGTAAGTAAGTAAGTAAGTAAGTAAGTAAGTAAGTAAGTAAGTAAGTAAGTAAGTAAGTAAGTAAGTAAGTAAGTAAGTAAGTAAGTAAGTAAGTAAGTAAGTAAGTAAGTAAGTAAGTAAGTAAGTAAGTAAGTAAGTAAGTAAGTAAGTAAGTAAGTAAGTAAGTAAGTAAGTAAGTAAGTAAGTAAGTAAGTAAGTAAGTAAGTAAGTAAGTAAGTAAGTAAGTAAGTAAGTAAGTAAGTAAGTAAGTAAGTAAGTAAGTAAGTAAGTAAGTAAGTAAGTAAGTAAGTAAGTAAGTAAGTAAGTAAGTAAGTAAGTAAGTAAGTAAGTAAGTAAGTAAGTAAGTAAGTAAGTAAGTAAGTAAGTAAGTAAGTAAGTAAGTAAGTAAGTAAGTAAGTAAGTAAGTAAGTAAGTAAGTAAGTAAGTAAGTAAGTAAGTAAGTAAGTAAGTAAGTAAGTAAGTAAGTAAGTAAGTAAGTAAGTAAGTAAGTAAGTAAGTAAGTAAGTAAGTAAGTAAGTAAGTAAGTAAGTAAGTAAGTAAGTAAGTAAGTAAGTAAGTAAGTAAGTAAGTAAGTAAGTAAGTAAGTAAGTAAGTAAGTAAGTAAGTAAGTAAGTAAGTAAGTAAGTAAGTAAGTAAGTAAGTAAGTAAGTAAGTAAGTAAGTAAGTAAGTAAGTAAGTAAGTAAGTAAGTAAGTAATTTGATTATCATAAGCATATAACACTATAATTAAATTCAAAAACCTATTTCCGGTAATAATCAAGGAAACCAAATGTGCATTTCAGTGTCAATAAAACAGTTTAATTATCCTCCTCACTCACTCTCTCTCAAACTTTTCTATTACTAATGATTCGTGAAAACAGATTCTAAAGTTTAACATCACTAAAAGTATCAATTGTTAAATATGGTTGCAAAATCCAAAACAATGCAAATTTCCTGAATTATAACACTGTCAATTGAATACTTTAGCACTCCACTGATAACAATGTTAATTCCTCCGACAACTATGTATTCAAATGATTATGTTTTAATTTTTCAAAGACTAATACATTCATTATATAAGTTTCCTAAACAGAATTCTATGTATCTATGTAGGGGTAATAAAGAAACATATAAGTTTCTAATATGATTGTAAACGGTAAATCTACTGGCTTGTATGAAATCTAGGTTTTGATTAAGCCTTAAAAAAAAGCTGAAGGTTGACTATTCATTTTAAAGTTGCATATATTGAAGTCTATTGGCAGGAATTTAAGTTGGATATTCCTAGGATATTTCAAAATGATTGTTGATAATAGAAAACCATAATGTAAAGAGTAAAGCACATTATCATCATAGACAAGAAAATGTGACTTTTAACAAGTTGGAATTTCAAAAATAGCCCGTAAGCCTTGTTCCAAAGAATTGATATTTTAGGATCAAAATGTGACCAGGAAAAAAAAGAATTTCCATTCAATGTTGATCTAGCATTGATCGATTCATGATCTCAATTAAAAAACACAACAATCTCCAAAACCCTATACTGATAATTTCTATACAATTATGACAGAAATAATTAAATACTAACTTACAGGCTTTTCTAAATTATCCAATCTCCATAATGAAACCTGACGCTGAAATTCGGAAATACAAAATGTAAAGAGAAGTGCAATTTTTTAAGCAGAAAAAATATGGTTTATGCAAAGTTTCTAGGGTAAGAATAATTAATCAGTTATTCCTATAAAAAAGAATTCCTTGACTATTGAAAGCAGTGAGTTTATTAGCGTTTATGCAATTGGATGACAAGTTATTGGCAATTAATCAGAGTGTACTTTCGATAATTCAGATGTGCAACCTCAGGGACGAAGATTAACCTGACTTAAATAAACGTTTTAGCTAACTAGAAAAATTATCAGGTTAGTCTTAAAACATGATAACCTGATGATCGTCTAACTTTATTCAGTATTCCCAAAGTTTTTTATCTATCTTTAATGATGGATACTGTTCCACAAAAGTTGGTAATTTTAGCCCACAGTTTTCCTTCTTTTATTGTCAGTATTCACGGTTTAGCTTTACAAACAATAATTTTGCGTCGAATTTTTTTAAGATAAAAATGAAATATTTTCAGAAATGGGTATTGTGGATATCATAGTAATTTATACAACAGGTCACGTACATTTGAGTTTGTTCACATTTAATTTGGTCAAGCCCTGTTGTTCAACGGACCGAGTCATTCGTACAATAACAACTTATCTATACCATTGTAGCATTATTGTTGTGCTTGTATGAATATGTATGCTTGAGCATTGTTTACCGCCTACGCATATATTCATTCTGCTAACTTTAATGTTATTAGCTTAATTGATTCATTCATTTTCCTATGTATATAAACATGTACATTTTAATCTTATTCATTCGACTCGCTCGCTTGCTTTTCGACACAACCCTATTATTCTTGTTTTGTGTACCTGTGGTTTTGGTGATCTGTGCGTGGTGCAATAATAAACGTGATCACCGCTTCGTATTTGTCTTCTGATTTATAGACCGTTGGGGGCGTTATCTAGTAACGGCTATCAGGACGAACAGTACACGAAATTTGAGAATAATATCGAATACCGACCACAACATTTAGTAGTTGAGTTCATGAGTCAGTTGAAGCTAGGCCATCATGGAAAACCTGGAAGTGCTGGATGGCCGTTTCGTCCTAGTATGGGGACTCCTCAGCAGTGAGCATCCACAATCCCGCTCGCGAGACTCGAACACAGGACCTATCGGTCTCGCGCGCGAGCGCTTAACCTCTAGACCACTGAGCAGGCATCCAACGGTGTTAATGTCTAACTTCAACCAATCCGTGAAATTAAGCGACACATCCACCATTGCCTTCAGTGAGTTACTATCTCACAACAGACCCGGTTGGATTCCACTGGTCACTGCTTCTCACTAGAACTTCAGGATATACATCTTGAAGCCAGTCACTAGTGAGCATGATAATTATTATCAGAAAGAATTCAGCGAACAGTCGGCAAACTCCCTTAACAATCAGTGATTTAAAGAATTGATACAATGGTATTTTATTCGATATCCCACTTTTCTTCATTATTGATTGTAAACAATATAGGTATTTAAATCAAATATAAACAGAGGAAAACAATATTTGACAAAAGTTTTGATATATATATATATAATATTAGTAAAGATGTAAGTTTATTCAGGACGAATCTTCACAAAGATTCCTGATACGGGTGATCAATTCTAACAAACTTGAAAGTTCGTGCGGTGAAAAACTAGTCGACAACAAGTGCAGAGTTTGGATGTGAATCGTCAAGAGTACCGAACCGAATTTCATGATGGATATTTGAATGTAACCTAGTGTTTTTAACATTAAAAACACACACAAGCGACATTTAAATAATGTGTCGTCAGAAAATTAAAGTAATGTATAGAAAAACCTACCTCACAGAATGAAGCGAAACGTTTACTGCATAAGGGATCAACTGTCAAACCATAGACTGCCCTAGTTGTAGTAATTTGACAAACTTTTGATGGATCTATCACAGGAACCAGAAAAGGTAATAAAGAATAATTGAACTGGTGAAGGATGAACTGTATAATGACAAAACTACTTTGTACGTACTAACAGCTCGAAATGTAAATAAGTGTTATCGCACTAAAAAATTCCAGTCATAAAACTTCGGAAAAGACGCATAGGCAGATCAGTAGTCGGATTGTGGTTCTTATAATTTACATTGTGGTAAAAGGAGGAACTTGACAAGTAAAGGAATGAAGAGGTGAAACGTACAAGGCAAACAAAGGTGAATAACTAAAAGAATGATATAAAAGAAACAAAAGAATGGAAATTTTTAAGAATTCAACATATCAGAGAATATAATGAGGTTATCTCCCCAACTCTAATCAGTCATGCATCATGTAACTTAATATTTCCAAACTTTGACCATCAATAAATCGCTGACCTTGACCAGAAACCTAAACTACTCTACATAGTGACTTAACTAGCTAACGTTATTAAACAGGAAGTGACAGTAGTATTTGGTTTTGGTGACTCGTACCAAGATATATCGCATATCTTTCGAAAACTAAGCACAACAATCAGTCAGCAAATTTATCCACATCGAATTAAGTTTTTCTTCTGAAAGTTGCATCGCATTAATAAGTTAAAATGTTTGAACAACCGTTTAATGCACCGAGAATCTAATTTTACCAGTTCGTTCATGTCGTTTAAATTTATTATTACTTCGCTCAAATATCTATTACCGTAGGAATCTCAAGAAGAAGAATATTTGATAATGCAATAAAAAACAAATTCTAGGTAACTCATGTAAGATAGGTTTTTAAAAAGGACATACCAGATAAGTCAAACACTTTCAGGTAGGTTCCTGACATGCCAGCAATAAATGAACTTTTAGAAAGCCACGCAAATGATGCAGTATCTTGAATGCCTTTTGGTAAAAAAAAGACCCAAAAATATTAATATGATTATTGAATTCCTTACCATTGATAACTATCGACAGAAAAATCTATAAAATGGTGTGGACATTTGAAGACTTTTTAAATTACCCCATCCCCTCAACTCAAGTAAGAAAATACATTCAGAGAAGAACTTATAGTCATAATTCATCTTATTACATAAAAAGTCAGTTTGAGTGGCACACCAGACATTTTACAGAAGCTAAAGTTGATTAGTCCATATTTAGACAAACTTTATAAGTGTCGAATTAGTGGTAGCTATTTTAAAGATAGTTTGGTTAACATTGGCAAGTAAATGAAACTTGTTTTTATATCTCTTAGTGGGTAATATTGTGAAACTATCTAATGTGATAGGGGAAGAACTAAGCCTGATAGTTACAGAATAAATCTGTTGGAGAGTGAATGACCTACAGTTGCCATATACTCCAATAGCTTATTTGCTAGATGAATTCTAGCCATACTCACTATTGTAATCAGTATTTTATGTTCAGGTATGTTATTTTGTTAGAAGAAAAACCCATTCCACCATGTAGTTTCAAACAAAAGAAGGTAGAGATTGGGAACGATAGTAAGTTCTGATAAAAGGGAATGGATAATTCAGGTTTTATTTTAAGCGCTAAACTAATAAACAAGTGTTGTTGTTTTTTATATATCAGAAATAACACCAACGAAGTAGCTTACAACACGTCAAGACTATTATGAAGTGTATGCGAAATACTTTGATTAACCTATATAATAATTTATAACTAAAGGTTCTGGACCTCAGTATTGTTAATACACATAACGATGCCCCCGGAGGTAATGGTGATCATATACAGAGGGAAGACAAACATTCTTGTCCCGGGGTCAGATTCCATAAACATAGAAAGCTGCTTTCATCGGGAGTTATGTCTCTGACCTTTTACAACTAGGATAAAGTGAAGGCTCGAAAATTGACCAGGAATAACATTAAGTGCTTTGATCTTGATTTAACTCAGTGGTCCAGTTCAGGTTACTGTACTAAGCTTTGAGTCGCACACTTGACATGAAAGCTAGCAGGAACAATCTGCTGTCAAAACAGGTGCCAGGGGATTTAAGCCTAAAACCTAATGATTAACGGTTGAACCATTTAGTTGTTATGCTATCGCTTTTTTTTATAAACACAGGCTGACCTAATCTATCACAGTGACTAGCATTCACAAATACTGTTCAAAACCATGTTGAGGTACATTTCTCGAAGTTTCCTAAATGGAACAGACCAAGAAAGTTTAATGACTGAAACAAGTGTCTAGTCTGACGACGAATGATTTGTACGGTTCGTATACATTTTTGACCGAATCAGTCAATCCATACCTAAAAGCTCACAATTAATTTGATTTCTCTACTTCTAACTATATATTCAAACTGGTGGAAAACCATTTCATGATGCCATGTCTAGATGATGGTTTCAAGCGGTGGATAATTATATTTACATGACGCGAATAAAATTACAAAAATACAACATGAAATGAAGTATGTTAATTAATGCGTATGGATTATCTTTGATCTGATACGTGAAGATGTCGATTAGATCAAAATGTACACAACAAACAAGTATCAACTAAAAACATGTTTTCATCTAATATACCTAAATCACACAAAGGTTTATCACATGTAGTTGTATTAGATATCCATTCTTTTTCCGAAACTGAGGAATATACCGAAACAAGTGATGACGTAGCTTGAGTATCTGGTGCACTATAATCTGAACCATTTATTGCAAATGGGAGTGAATATGTATGTGTATGGAGGTCATTAGCACAAACTGAACCTCGATCTGTAGACTTCACGTTGGGATGCCGCGACCCAGTGTATTTCGTCACATCCCATATCAGTACAGAAGGTTCTCTGCTGTTTCGAGGTCTGTCAAAACCCTGGGCTAGCTATTATAGTGAAAAAAACACGTAAAACGAACCAAAATAATGTAGAAATAAAGTCAACAAAAGTGGAAGTCATCGACAAACTATAGCTAAACAATCAATAAGCTTTTAGAAAAAATAACTGGACATAAATAATACAACCACATAGCATCTCACACGTTAATGTACCCTTCTCCATCTAACTTGACTTAGGTGAGGGAAGCTATTTATTTCCCTTAGAATAATAAGTCAATGGAAACCGAATAATATGGACCTTAACTCGTTTAATGAGTTGTCCTAAATTAGGCATGTAGGTGGTTAGAAGTACAAATTCTTATCGATGCAGTAATACTCAAATCCATAGGTTGCTGGCTTGCATTAGATTAAACAAACAGCATAGTCTCAATCATGTGACCTTTTATTAGCAACTTTGGTTAGTTTAAATGAATTGGCTGAGTTAAACGATAAGATAATAAGTACTATAGTTGGATAGATATTCCGAATTAGAGGAAAGATGACTAAGGTACCACTTAAAAACTAGATCTCGTAAACTTTGAATTATTACCTAGACTATTGCAACGACTTGCAAAGCATCTACATTTCACTACCAATGACCAATTAGACTAAATATCAGGGCATGCTTAAATATTGTGGGGAACTGGAGGATAAGCACCGTGTCATTTGGCACTTTTATAATAAGTTTAAGCCCAAAACGATCATCGCTCGTATTTGAGGCACGGGTAACTAAATGTGTGGACTTAATAATATGAAAATAAATCAAAGGAATACACAAACAAGAACAGAAAGCAGCAGACTTGCCAAGTTACGTTTCCAAGGGTTCCAAACAAGAAAAGTAGTGTTTCTGGAAAATCTAGGTGCTTTAACAAGTTATTATATAAAACACAATAAATACTTAGTTCTTTATTTTGTAAACCGAATCTGTCTTCCTCAATATCACAATTGGGGAGCCTATAATCAGGTTAACTTAGGGACACTTTCAACTTACCCCATGAGTTTGACACACCCAACATTGTGGGTGATTGCAATCAGATGATTTGGGACTACGTCAAGGTTTGGTTTATTGCTACTGGATACCCAAGCTACACACTAAAACCTAATACTGATATACAGTAAGCATACTTGTGGGGATACATTGTTACTCCAAACATTCAGAACGGAAATCAGAAATCTGAGCTTTGAACCAATAATAAAACCTGCAAATATAAAGTATCGAAAAGTTCAAATCGGACCCATTTAAATACTGTTTGAATCCACTGGTGCAGATGAAGCTTGTTCCAGTCGGAACAAGTAAACATAGTGTTTCCAAACAACGACGAAAACGTCAGACCTATTTGGAGGCCATTGAATATCATATTCTGAAGAATATGGCATTATTTTTGGAAACCCGCTGTTGTAGCTAGCAATTTAAATGAGTGACCACAGTAATGTAGTCTGGAAGAGGAGGAACTGGAAGAAATTTTCCGGGACAAAATCCGTTTGAAGACATCAAACGAGGAACAGAGCCGAAGTAGCGAGCCAACTGCAGCGAATGTTCCTAAGGGTGGCTGGACAGCTCAAGGTCGAGGTCGGTTATGGTTAAATCAACCTCCTGTAATTTTCAACAGCTTTGGGTTAATAAATTAGTAGAGAACAACCAACACATGATGTGACTAGGACAGAAATAAAGAAATATTTATTTCTTGCAACCTATATTGGATGTTGAGAGAATATTTTTAGCTATGGGGTGGTGATCCATAGTTACGGTATACATTAAATACAATATATTTGCCACGATCTTGTATAAACTGATGGATTTCCTTACGCTTGTTTTTTATTGTCTCATTGCGGTTATAAGTGTTTGGTCATGCTCATTCGGTGATAGTTAAGCCATTTTACTGCACTAATTCTAGTCAGTGTGATAGTTATTTATGTATTTGTATATTTTGTAGCTTTGTTTGTTTGAGGGCAGTAGGATTTCTGAATACCAGCAGCTGTCACATTGCCAGGCAGGAGGTTGATTGGTTGCAGTGTGAGAATGATAATGTAATAATCTGAGCGTTAAGAGATGACTACTGTTTTAGAAATAAATAAATGAGGGGAAACAGGAATGATGATAATAATAAGGGAGATAGGAATTAGTTATTGATATGCGGTAATGATGACCGTAGTAACATATGGGACACACTTATTAACATAGTTGTTTGAAGGCCCATACCATATGATAGCCAACGCCATTTTGCTCATCGTGTTTGTGAGCGTCATACTGATTACCACATGCTATTTTGCGCACTCTATGAGTCATCACGCTCGTTTGTTCTCAAGCGTTTTTCTGATCTTATAGAGATATCTTTTACGGTTCACGATATTCTATCTTTCGGAATTGAATGGATAGCTTAAATGACGGTCTGTGGTAGTCAGCGAAATTTCTTCTTCAACATGCGCTGAATCTCAAATTGTCCACAATGGATGTGACTTACCTACTGCTGCGTTTCGGCCTTCATGTAGACAATCTAGCTTGACCAAAGTGATGCTTCTCATCCGCAGTCTTCGCCAAGAGTAGTTTGGGATGGCCTTTCTTCCTATTATTTTTTCACTTACTAGTCTTGCCAGGAGTAGGGACCTGGGTAGGAGTGTGATCATTATTACATAGTTGATGATTCAGTTTTGGTGTGTGAAATGAGTTAAACATGTTGTACACACAGATGCTTGAAACGGGAGTTTTCGATCTATTATTAACCTTTCAATCTGGACCTCTAGCTCTGTTATTTTTCCTTTCAGTTATAGTGTAAATACTAGTGGCAACGCCCTTACTGTACGTGCTACTCAATATGCAATTAAAGGGAGAAGTACGCGACGTATGCTTTGAACATCCTAGATACGAAGTGTAAAGTAGCTAGGCTGTAGCGGTAAATAAATCCCCAAAATAAATAGCCCTAAGTTTTCGACATTGGATGCTGACCATATGTTTTAGTGGACTCATCTAGCTGAAGGCGCTCGGTCATGCATCCGCACCAGATCACGTGTGGTAACGCCGTGCTCAACATCAACCACAATCGCTAGCCGGATTAGATCAGAGAATTCCGATATATTGGTCATCGCCAAATATACTCTTCCGATCTCCTCGACTCTGTCTTTTGATTTCTCTGGGTGGGAACGAAATATATTAGAAGGTGTTACTGGTAAAAGCGTTGTCAAACACTGAATACCTGTGACATCATCATTGGTGAAACCGACGTGACCTGGTACACCTAATTGCAACTGTGAGTCTGTTCCTTTTTGGGATTTTTATATATCATTGCCTTATTTTTTTATTTTTTTTAAACATTGTGATTTTTTTTTCGTGTTTTTTTTCTTGGATATATATATTTTCCCCTCGTTCATTATCGTACTTCATACTTCATCATGACTGAACAGACACCTAAAGTACTCAAGCTTAAGACTTTGTCTTCGCCTTCGTTTCAACTGATGCCTTTCTGGCCCGACAACATCGAAGCTTGGTTTTGCTACGCAGAAGCCGACTTCTACGAGCACGGCGTGATCGACACACGTGCACAATTCCTCGCAGTAGTCAAGGCACTACTGCGCGAATTCAACAGGTACGTAACACCTAGTATGTTTACTAGTGATGTTTCCGATCCTTACGAAATCTTAAAACGCTCGATTCTTAAACGAGGAGATCTAACTGATCGACAAAGGTTAGATCAACTCTTCAACAATATCGACCTGCAATACGGTTCTGCGACGGACATGTTGCAACGGATGAGAGAGGTAATAGGCCCAAGAACTTTCGACGAAGGTCTATTCAAACAACTCTTCTTGTCAAAACTTCCCCAACAGGCGCAATCAGTTCTGTTCTCGTTCCAGAACAACGCCTTAGACGAGCTAGCTGCATCTGCCGACCGCATTTTAGAAATTACGAAATCTACTACCGAGGTATTTTCAGTCAAAGAAAAACCTCAAACGACTCAGAATGATATAACCGACTTATGTCACACACTCACGCGTTATCTTAGTCTTCGTACCGACCGTAAGAGATCGCGCACACCACGTAGAAGCATTTCTCGTAAGCGATCTATCTCTAGACCACGAGAGACAGATAACCCCGATTGGTGCTGGTATCATAACCAGTATGGAAAGCTTTCCAGAAATTGCAGAAAACCCTGCAATTTTCCCAACACGAAACCGACTGATTCGAAAAGCAATTCGGGAAACTTCCAAGCCGGCACGCGTTAACGGCAACCGTAGCCGGCGAACAAAGCCGTCTGTTATTCGTCACAGATGTGACAACGAGAGTTCGCTACCTCGTCGACACTGGCGCAGAAGTTAGCGTTCTCCCAGCGAATTCTAACGACCGACTTCACAAATCGGCTCTAAACTTACAGGCGGCAAACGGAAAACCGATCGCTACGTATGGCAAAAGGTACGTTTACCTTAACGTGGGTTTACGCAAACCCATCCATTGGATTTTCGTTGTTGCAGATGTTTCTATGCCAATCATTGGTATGGACCTTCTACAACACCATAATCTTATCATCGACACGCGCAAACGGAGGCTAGTAGACGGAAACACTAATTTGTCCGTTTGCGTAACTTCTTTTACTGGTTGTAGAGTATCCCCAGTCACAGTTAAACATATGATAGACCCACTCTATCAACCACTACTCGATAAGTACCCTGGGATACAACAAACGCAACCAAGATTACCGTGTGTAACCAGTAATGTTACACATCACATCACGACTACAGGACCACCTGTATTCTCTAAAGCACGACGACTAGCTCCTGAAAAGTTAAGGTTAGCGAAAAACGAATTCGATCACATGATAGATTTAGGAATCATACGACCGTCAAGTAGCCCATATGCATCTCCGTTGCACATGGTCCCTAAAAAGGACAGCAACGATTGGCGTCCAACTGGTGACTATCGGCGATTGAACGCGAAAACCATTCCCGATCGTTACCCGTTGCCTCACATTCACGATTTGACAGCTACCTTGAAAGGTACAACTGTCTTTTCGAAAATCGACTTGGTTAAAGCGTATAACCAAATCCCTATGGCTACTGACGACATACCGAAAACAGCTATCATAACTCCTTTCGGACTCTATGAATTTTTGCGAATGCCTTTCGGTCTATGGAATGATGCTCAAACATTCCAAAGATTCATAGACAACGTTTATCGAGGTCTCAACTTCGTACACGCGTATGTTGACGACTGTCTAATCGCAAGTCCGGACAGAGAAACACATCTCAAGCATCTGGATCTTGTTTTCGAACGACTTCAAAAACATGGCATAACTGTAAACGTTCAGAAATGCCAATTCGGAACCGACTCGTTAGACTTTCTGTGACACACTATCGATGCTCAAGGCATTCGACCTCTTAGGACCAAAGTGGCGGCCATTCTGGATTACCCAGAACCGACCACCGTCAAGCAATTACGCACGTTTAACGGCCTCGTAAGTTTTTATAGACGTTTCATACCGAAATGCGCATTACTTATGAAACCGCTGACCGACCAACTTCGTGGAAATGCGAAATCCATTAATTTGGCGACACCGCACGAGAAGCATTCTCCACAGTTAAGGAACTGATTGCTAAAGCAACAATGCTCGCACATCAGGACACCCGAGCACCCATTAGCATCGCAGTAGACGCATCCGACTCGGCAATCGGAGGAGTCTTACAACAATGGGTTAACAACTCCTGGCAACCCTTGGCATTTTTCTCTAGAAGGTTGCTAGACACCGAATCGAGGTACAGCACATTCGGTAGGGAACTCCTAGCTATGTATTGTGCTGTACGGCATTTTCAACACTACATCGAAGGTCGTGAATTCACTCTTTTCACGGACCATAAACCGCTCACTTTCTCGTTAAGCTCTCCTTCTGACAAGTACTCTCCCCGTGAGTCTCGACAACTGGACTACATTTCGCAGTTTACTTCAGACATTCAACACATCTCTGGAGCAAACAATGTAGTTGCAGACGCTTTATCTCGCATAACTTCCTTGAACAGTTTCCAAGGAATCGACCTTCTTAAACTCTCCGAGCTTCAAAAAGAAGACAGTGATCTTCAGCACGAGTTATCGTCCACAACACTTAAACTACGCATCAAACAGATGGGAACAGGTAAGGAAACCTTACTTTGTGACACATCTACAGGTAGGGATCGCCCAATCGTGCCGAAACATTATCGACGCAATGTCTTCAACACATTGCACAAACTTTCGCATTCAGGTGTTCGTCAACCATCAAGCTTATAGCAGAACGGTTTTGCTGGCCTGGAATGAATAAAGACGTGAGGGAGTGGGCACGCTCCTGTATAAGCTGCCAAAAATCTAAGGTTATCAGACACAATAAATGTCCCTTAGGCTCGTTTAAAACTCCCGATGCTCGTTTCGACCATGTTCATCTGGATTTGGTAGGACCTTTACCAGATTCAAATGGATACTCTTATCTCTTAACCTGTGTAGACCGTTTCACTCGATGGCCAGAAGCAGTACCTATCAAGGACATCACTGCTGAAACAGTGGCCCGCACCTTCGTCGAACGATGGGTAGCAAACTTCGGTTGCCCTTCAACCATCACTACA